GTTAATCATGTGTAGTTTGTGTTAATCATGTGTAGTAACATGTTAATTGTCATTCTATCCTCCTCAACAGACTAACCTCCATTGGCATCTCAGGTACTCCGTTAGACTGGTTCAAATCATATCTCTCTGACCGCACTCAATTCTTTCAGCTCAAATCCTTTCGTTCCCAGTCTTCCCCCGTCTCCACGGGTGTCCCCCAAGGCTCTGTCCTCGGACCCCTCCTCTTCATCATTTACCTCCTTCCTCTAGGTCACATCATGGACTGAAGGTGATTTGAAGGCTTCACATTTTAAGATTTCTCTTCACACTTCACTTCCTGTCTCGAGCTTTGTCTCTGATTTCCCCCCCCCCCCCCCTTAATTAAAACAAGTTTCAGCCTAAATACTTCAAAGTGGATGAATGTAATAAAAGTGATAAATGAATAAACGCTGAGATGAGAGCAGTAGGTCGTTACCTCGGTGGGGGTGGACCCTCCGGGTCCTTCAGGTCTTCTTGGTCCGGTCTGGAGGTGGTTGGAGGCTGGTTATCTTCATCCTCCTCATCATAATCATCACGGCTCCAAGACAGAATCTCACCTTCCTCCACATCTGGACAGAGCCAGAGGGTCCGTTTGTGTCGGAACGTTTCCATCTCCTGTTCAGTAAAGGTGTGAGTTTACCTGTCTGCTCCTCACTGACCACCACCACCTCGTGGCTGTACAGGTCCGGGACCAGCGCTGCGGGGTTTCAGGTGAAATACAACGAGACGTGATTAATACTTTTATGTGACACGCTGAATGTACATGTTCAGAACTCATGAGGACGAGCGGGCCTGCGGGGAACACGTGATGTTCCGACTGTTCAGGTGAGTCCACCTGCGTCCAACACGCCTGCAGACCTGACGGGTCACGTGACACAAACGAGACCAAGTTCCCCCTAAAGTCTCAGTCCAGTTGTTGCCTGCCATCGTGCACGTGTTGGTTTGTCTGTTAGCAAAATATCTCATTAACCACTGGGTGGATTTAGTGGTCACTAGTTGAACATTTACAACTTCTAGTTCCCTCCATTCAAGATGGCCGCCACAACCAACCCACCTTAGCTAAAACAGAAACGTCTGATTAAAAATTATTCAGAGAAAACTTCCCAACAGATCGAAGCTGGTTTGACTCCATCAGCGGGCGATATGCATTCTGTGACGACGATAGGCCTCTTCCTGTTTATTTAAACAGCTTATGAGCAGTTGCAGCTACAGGTGCTTTGTGTGAAGCCGCTTAATGAGAAATAAACAGTTTATTTGAATTAGTTTAGTTTCATTAGCAGCCTGCAGGGCGCCGCCATGTTGGATTTGAAAGTTATGGCGGGTGATAAAACACGATCTTATGAGTCGGAACTTGGACTGAAACGGAAGTTAAAGTCCATGTCAGCTAACTCGGAACTCAGGAAGCCAGTCAACCGGCCCGTTTTAACGGGGACTTTTCGGATGGTTTGTCGTTCAGAACCGGAGCGGACGGACCTCTTTTGTTGCGAGGCTGCAGGAGCTCCAGCTGCCTCCTCTGCCGCGCCACCTCCTGCCTCAAGCCCGCAGCCTCCTGCTCGTAGTCGGCCACGGTCACCTCCACCACCGCCAGGATCTCCCGGGCGGCTGTGCTCAGCTTCTCGGTGATGCTTCCCCTCAGGATGTCGCTCTTAGAGACGGCGAGCGGCTCCGAGCCGCCGCCGCTGCGCACGAACATCTTTAACGACATCAGTCCCGGTGGGGTCACAGCAGTTTTCTTCCGGGTGAAACGTTTCCTTCCGCCGCGCGAAGGTTCCGAGCTGCACAACAGGGCTGTTAGCATGATGGAGCCCGGGCTGGAAACGATGTCTAAAACGGACAAACTGAGAGGAATCATCTCCGAGAGGCTGACCGCCGCCGCCTGCGAGATCCTGACGGAGGTGCAGAGGACCATGGCCGACTACGAGCAGGAGGCTGCGGGCTACAGGGAGGAGATCGAGCGGCAGAGGAGGCAGCTGGAGCTCCTGCAGCGTCCGACGGTCAAAGAGGAGCCAACAGGTCGGTCGCAGCTAATCTGAACCCGGGTGCAGAAAATCGGCTTTTACAGTTATTTTCGCTTGTTTTTGTTCGATAAAACTAAAAAGTATCTTCAATATTCTGTGACTGCGTCCAAACCTTAAACTGGATTCAACAGAAACGTATGTTTAACGGAACACAACTTACTTAAGAGGTTTTAGGGATGTTTTCAAACTAGTCATACACAAAAAAACTCTTTTAATTCAGTTCAGTTTGTTTACATCAACAAGTTGGGGGTTTGATTCCACCAGCCATGTTGAAGTGTCTCTGGGCAAGACTGAACCCGTCGCAGGTAAATGAGGCACAGGTTGTTGTAACGAGCTGAGTGACGTCATCAGGTGTGTCCTGATGCTGCTCAGTGATGCACGTAGAAACATCTGACAAAGTTCAGTCAGGTCCTTTGGACACATTAACAATAAATCAGTACATTTTTAAAAATGGCTTTGTATGAAGGCAGCAGACCAGGAAGTGATTTAAAGATGAAGATGTACCAGTGGGAGAGTCTGTGTGAAGTTAATGGTGACCAGTTAACCAGTGAATACTGGGTGCAGTGGTGGGTACGATAATCACAGCCAGTTATGAATCTTAGTGCACCATGATAGACAGCATCCAACATCTGCAGCATCCAACATCTGCAGGGTTCTTGTAGGAGCGTTCATGTAAATAATGTCACCGTAATCAATGGAGGGAAGGAAAGTCACAGATACAAGGTGTTTCCTAACATTCAGGGTTAGACAGGATCTGTTTCTGAAAAAGAAACCCAGTTTAACTTTCAGTTTCTTTATCAAGTTTTCCACATGAAGCTTAAAAGAGAGATGTGAGTCGACCAAGATACCCAGATATTTATAGGAATCAACAAACTCAATGGGGACACCATTTGAGGATAAAATCAGAGGAAGAACTGCTGGGACCGACTTCCTATTTGAAAAAAGCATCCCTTTGGTTTTGTCGGCATTTAGGACAAGTTTGAGGTGGAACAAATCAGTCTGGATGATGTTGAATGCAGATTTCAAAAGCTGGAAAGCCTTAGCAACAGTTTTAGCTCGACAATAAACAACTGTGTCATCAGCATAGAAATGTATGGATGCATTAGGGATGTTTTGACCTACATTATGTATGTAGATTGTAAAGAGGGTGGGTCCTAAGACTGAGCCTTGTGGTACACCATTGTTGACTGTTAAATAACTGGAGGAAGTACCATTATGTTGAACACATTGTCTCCAGTCTGAAAGATAGTTAAAGAACCAACCAATGGTGTGTTCTGAGAAACCAATTTCTGAGAGTTTATGACACAAGATGTTCTGATCCACAGTGTCAGAATCTTTAGACAGGTCTAAGAAAAGTGCAGCACAATAATCCTTAGCATCCAGTGCTTCAACAACATCATTAAGAACCTTCAGTGAGGCAGTGGTTGTGCTGTGTTGTTTCCTGAAACCAGATTGATGTGGAGGTAAGATGTTAAATGAGTTCAGGTCATTTTTGATTTGAGAGTTTATCAGTTTTTCTAGAACCTTGGCTAAAATGCAGAGTTTAGAGATTGGTCCATAGTTGTTCAGTGATGTGGGGTCACCTCCCTTCAGCAAAG